ATGAATGGTGATGCAGGTTGTACTCCAGAAAATTGAATATCATTATTTTTCTTTTTTTAATGATGCAAATAACAAATTGTTACTTATTGTAATCATTACTGCACTAATTATTGACTACCTTAAGAGATGATAATACCATCAAGGATAAAGCAAATCAAATGACAAACATAGACAATGGAAAAAGGCATAAAACCTAAATAAGTTTACACACAAAAAAAGAGAAAATAACAATGCAGAGGGGAGGCATAGAGTCTTGTCACTGCACAAGAGTGTTTGTTTGCGCCCAGTCTACAAGCCACAAACCCAGCAGAGTGTCCGTTCACGTAAGCCTAATACCCATACTTTGGGCAATGAAGCATACAGATCCAATGAGTTAACAAACCAAAATCACAATGGACATATCATGTATGTCATGCCATTTGTGGTCATGGGTAAATGAAAACTTATGCTTACATCATCTTTGCAGTTGGTGAGAAGAATTGGATCCATGTTATAGTCTAGTGCAGAACTCCTTGCCATGGTGAGCACCTGCACTTTACATGTTGCACTCAACTTTTTAGTCGGAAGTTGTTCCTGTTGGAGAGCAATAAGGGTCAAAATGTCTTCCTATATAGGTCATGGGGCATCACCTTTTTTTATTCATTATAGAGGTGAACATGTCTGAAAACATCTGATATAAAACAAAAGCAGACAGTGAAAAAAAAAAAAAACGACGAAAGACAGAGAAAAGGAAACAGAGGAAGAATAAAAGACCAGAGAAGAAAGGAAGAGTTACATACAATCAAGACAGCTCTAACCTTTAAACATTCTGTCAGTTTCCCATTGAGCTCCGTACTACTCAATTCCATTTGCTCAACCAACTCAGAGCAGAACTTGGCCATGTCACGCCTGCAAGCTTGATACAGATCTGGATTGAGACGAACATCGGTGGTCTGTTCCACCATTCGCCGAACTACAACTTGGCGACACATTGGATCAAAGTTGAGTTCACTTTTTTTTTTCTGGAAGGAAAGATAATAATGGTTTCTTATAAACACATTCGTGGAGAAGGATTATCAGAATATAATCTAATATTAAAAAATAAGGTTGAATACAGTATTAAAAAATAAGGTTGGATACAGGCACATGGAAAAAGATGAAAATATAATTTATGGCTAAATTCTGTTTGTGGGCCAATGATATCCAGGCTTGGAATAATCACACCAACCAATTCACTTTTCTACATATTAGCAGCTTATTATAATTCGCTTTTAACATCACAGACAAAATTGGGACACTGGATCCTTTTCATATCATTGCTACTATAAACATGTAATAAAAACACATAATAATGCAAATCAGGAGAAAAAGCACATAAACCTACTTTTAGGCAAGAAAGGTACTGCTCAGCGGGGATGTCGTAGCAGTACTGCTGGATCATCTGCTTACATGTACTGACAAGAACCACATCAGTACCTGGATCTTGCTGTTCCTCTTCCTCTCGAAGGAATACCACACTGTGGCATTCGCTTAACAGATTCTGCTTGTTCTGCCTGAGACACTCTAAGACCTGAAGCAAAAAATGAAACCCATAATATCCTATTCACCAAAATTGTTGCTTTCTGCATAAACAGTAGTATTTGCTTAGCACAAGGATCATGCAAGGTCTCCCCCACCCATGTCTCTACTATCAATGAGACATGTTCTGTCCTCTAATATTAATATTCTCTATGCCAGTCATTTGTGTTTTTCTTTTTCCCTCTTCTTATAAATGGATGCAAGCATATAAATATGCATACGTACATTCACACACTACCACATCACACACACACACACACACACACACTCTCATATACATATACACATGCATATGCATAATCACATGCACATGCACACAGACACAAACACACATATAAGCAAGCACATGCACCCTCCCCCCCACACACATACACACATGCATGTGTCTGCATTCCATGCAGACACATGCACACACCCCACCCACACATACACACACAAGCATGCCAAAATATTTAGCTGATACATTCCTGCATTCACCTTTTACCATAACCCTATAATTCCACAATGAGCTTTATGCTCTATACTTTTTTTTCCTTCTTACAACAGAGGGGAAGCAGGTGGGAGGAATTAAAGTAAAACTTAGTCTCCAGAAAAGGGAGAATGTTTAGCCAAAGCAATATCCTCCTGCTCAAAGAAAAAGTCAATAAAACCAAATGAACTTACAGCTCCTCTGCCACGGGTAACATCTTTGCAGTATTTGGCCACTTCATTTGAGCAATGTCGCTGAAGCTTAGGGTCTAGCTTTATACTTTCATGCCTCTGCATGAGCTGCTGGCCTAGCTTTATACTTTCATGCCTCTGCATGAGCTGCTGGCGGAGCTGGTGGCGACAGGCTTTAGAGATCTTGTGACGGTCATCACTAAGGACAGCATCACGGACTTGAGTACTTAAGCACTCAATCACATCAGCTCTGGAAGGTTTATCAAAATCAATTTTCAATCAA